CCTCTTCCGAACACAAATTAAGATATTTTTGATGGAATCTGAGAGCTGTCTGACCCTGCATAGACAGCAACACAACTGAAATGTTCCCAAGTCCAGAGACGTAGCAAGGAGATCTGTAAAATAATCCATGTGACATCAGTGGTTCATCCGCAATTATACGAAGCTACGAGAATACTTTTTGTCCGCAAAAGAAAAAAAAATAACGACTTCATTCAACAATTCGTCTCCCCCGCATCACCCTGGTGCCATTTTGGAGAATATCTGCTGGACGGAAACAACGTATGCTGTTCTGTGTCCGCTGCGTCACGCCGAATCTGTTTCCGTTCAGATCAAATCACAACAACGTAGGAAACAGATCCGGCGTAACGCAGTGGACACAGAACAGCATACGTTCTTCTTCTTTTGCGGACAAAAAGTATTCTCGTAGCTTCATATAATTGCGGATGAACCACTGATGTCACATGGATTATTTTACAGATCTCCTTGCTACGTTTCTGGACTTGGGGAACATTTCAGTTGCGTTGCTGTCTATGCAGGGTCAGACAGCTCTCAGATTCCATCAAAAATATAGGGTCAGAGAGCTCTCAGATTTCATCAAAAATATCTTAATGTGTGTTCCAAAGATCAACGAAGGTCTTACGGGTTTGAAATGACATGAGGGTGAGTAATTAATGACATAATTTTTGGGTGAACTAACCCTTTAAGTCGCTGGGGTATATTTGTAGCAATAGCAAAAAATACACTGTATAGGTCAAATTTATAGATTTTTCTTTTATGTCAAAAATCATTAGGATATTAAGTTCATGTGCCATGAAGATATTTTGTAAATTTCCTACCGTAAATATATCAAAACTTAATTTTTGATTAGTAATATGCATTGCTAAGAACTTCATTTGGACAACTATAAAGGCGATTTTCTCAATATTTAGATTTTTTCGCACCCTCAGATTCCAGATTTTCAAATAGATGTATCTCAGCCATTATTGTCCTATCCTAACAAACCATACATCAATGGAAAGCTCATTTATTCAGCTTTCAGATGATGTATAAATCTCAATTTCCAAAAATGGACCCTTATGACTGGTTTTGAGGTTCAGGGTCACATCTGGTCTTACAGAAGATCCTCAAGGTCAGTTGCGGGATAAAAACAAGGTCACCGTTCTCTCTCTGTCTCTCAGTGTTCCCAAAGAGGAAATGGAATTCCAGCACAATCTGGAGCAGATTAAAGAACATGAGGAAGCCAATCATTCCACTCCATTCCTTGGCAGCTTGAGTCGCATTCTGGGTGTCCAGTCGCCCAATTTCTCCCGCCCGACCCCCACGTCCCGAGTCTCCCTCCTGCGGCGGCGTCCCCGCGCCCCCTTCTCTCGTTTCCCCCTTTACCTCCATCCCGAGAGCTCTCCGATGCCCAGCCACACCCGGAACGCTGACATGGAGGATGTGTTCTCATCCATGCCTCTATACGAAAGACCCGGTTTCTACAGTTGCCCTCAGACGCCCATCCACTGCGTCCCTCCGTCCATTCCTCGCCCAAGGCTGCGAAGAGCGCACGGCGACAGCTCCAGCTCCCTGGCGCATCCCCTGGTGGGCTCGCCAGTCCTGTCTACACCTGACACGCCCGCACCTCCTTCCTCCGCCTTCCCTTAGGTGGGCGAAGACAGTGAACATTCGGGTCCCGCTTTCTGCTTTCCGGACCCTGTGCCTGAGCTGTTACCCAAAGTATGGCCAAGTCAAGGGTTGCCGTCGCGTCGGCCCCTGCCTCTACGACTCTCTTTGGACACGTCGCCATCTCCGTCTACACCCGAAAGGGTGTTTTCTTTCACCCCTCCATCTTGGCCGCAAGCTCAAATCAACACCGCCAGTTCAGGGAGTGTGAATGTGACCGCAGCGACAAACAGCAACAGTAACCTGTGCAACGGGGCAGCAAATAATCCCTGGCCAATCAGCAGAAGCACCACTGCAAGCACAGCCAATCCCGTCAGCCCCAGCCCCACGGCGACTCAGCAGACAGCCAATCAGCACATCTCTGCCAACGACTCTGGCATCTCATTGGCTGAGGGGGATCTGTTGGGTGCTGCGGTGAAAATGAGGGAACAGCTCTGAGTTAGGTGGAAAATACCAGCTTAGACCAGCATGAATTCTCTTCCAGACTGGTTTAGAGCTGATCCAACTGGTTAAGATCTTTGCCTTGGGTGAGTGAAGGTAGTGAATATTCGGGTCCCGCTTTCTTCTTTCCGGACCCTGTTTTCGAACTGTTACCTAAAGTACGCCTCAGTCAAGGGTTGCCATTGCACCTGGACACGTCCTCATCTCTGTCTACACCAGAGAGGGTGCTTTCTTTCACCCCTTCATCTCGGCCACAAGCTCAGATCAACACCGCCAGATCAGAAACCGGGAATGTGGCCGTGACATCAAACAGCAACACTAACCTGTGCAACAACACCTAGCCAATCAGCAGAAGCACCACTGCAAGCACAGCCAATCCCGTCAGCCCCAGCCCCACGGCGACTCAGAAGACAGCCAATCAGCACAACTCTGCCAATGACTCTGGCATCTCATTGGCTGAGGGGGATCTGTTGGTTGCTACAGTGAAAATGAAGGAACAGCTGGAAAATATACCAGCTTAGACCTGAATTCTCTAGGTCGGACTGATTTAGAGCTGGTCTAACATGTTTTTGTCTACATTTAAGACATTTTAAGAAACCTCAGTATCAAAAACCTTTCTGGGGTTCTCAGAAGCGGAAGTCGTCATAGATGGGTAAACTTCTACAGTGGTGAACAGAAATTCTCATTTGCCCCATCAGCAAAAGAAAAAAAATCCATGGTAGACTTTCTGACATTCCATTCCAAAAGAGGAAAAATATTGAGAGATTAATTAAGTTGGCCAGATGTGAGAAAGATGTCAAATTGCCTTCACTCCCTTAGCTGTTGTGTTAGAAACACTCATGCAGAAACTACTTTTATGTAAGTTAATGGAAAGGTAATAAAACACAAAGTATAGTATATATA